GGCCACTAGACCCAAAAAAAGAACAATCTTACTTTCATCAGTCCACAAAATGTTGCGCCATTTCTCTTTAGGCCAGTCAATGTGCTCTTTGGAAAATTGTAACCTCTTCAGCACGTCTTTTTTTCAACAGTGGGACTTTGCGGGGGCTTCTTGCAGATAGCTTGGCTTCACATAGGCGTCTTCTAATTGTAACAGTACTCACAGGTAACTTTAGACCTTCTTTGATCTTCCTGGAGCGGATTGTTGGCTGAGTCCTTGCCATTTTGGCTATTCTTCTATCCATTCGAATGGTAGTTTTTCGCTTTCTTGAACGTCTTTCAGGTTTTGGTTTTAAAGCATTTTCGATCATTTTAGCTGAGCAGCTATCATTTTCTGCACTTCTTTATATGTTTTCCCCTCTCCAATCAACTTTTTAATCAAGGTACGCTGTTCTTCTGAACAATGTCTGGAACGACCCATTTTCCTCAGAATTTCAGAGAGAAATGCACTGTAACCAGCATGTACAATATTTGCTGCCTTTCTTCCTTAAAAAGGGGGATAATTGCAACCTGTTTTTCAAAGAATGAATGACCTCACTAATAGAACTCCACACTGCTATTATTTTGAACATGCCCCTTTCGATTATTGATTCAATTATACAGAATCAGCAGCATGCATGTCATGACTGTTGGGTCTGTTGGATTTCTATTACTCTACTACACCTGTTAGTAAATTATTTGCCATGTAGAAATATAATTTCTACCAAAAACAGTGATTGATCAGATTAGTGATGTCTGACTGCTATTATTTTGAACACAACTGTATGTTAGAACTTCACCAAAAAGGTGAGGTTCCGCTTTTCCACCCTCCTTCAAACACACCCCCCAACACTTTTGGACACTATTTTTATGTGGGGGGAGCAGATACCTAATTTTGATAGGTACCTGCTCCCACTTCTGCTAGGATCGCCTAGGTAATCCAAGTGGAAGTTCAGCCCTTATTTGCCCGCAGCTTTCTGGGACCTGTGACCTGGCCTCATTTATGAAGCGCAGCAGGACTTGCACATGCAGAGTACGAACCCGGCTACAAAAAGCCGCACCGACTCAAAGTCTGTTGCGATTAGTAAACATGCAAGCAACAGGGACCCAAAGAACAGTGAAGAATTGGACTAGGGGAGGACAGTACTGAATCCCTGGACAGGTGTCCTTATATTAAAAGTCAGCAGCTACAGTATTTGTAGCTGCTGTCTTAATTTTTTTGGGGAGTCACTGAAGTTCCTCTTCAAATTTATGCACATTTCTATTGGTTGATAAGTTGTGCAGGTTTTCAAAAACCATTTATCCATTTCAGATACATCAGGTACTCAGTCGAGTTCTCATTTAAAATAAATAAAAAAAAAAAAAAAAAAAAAAAAGTACAAGATCATCCTAGGAGTTACAGTGCTCACCTCTGAGATGGAAGATCATGAGACTGATGCCATGATTGGAAGCTGAAGACCTCACGAAGACTTTCCAAAACTGAAGGGGCGATGTAAGTGAAACCCTATCCAGTAGTGAGAAGATACACGTTTACGTTGACAGGAAAAAGATATACACGACCTAAAACACACCAATCATTAACTGCGCTTCTCACCATCACCACTATACAAGAAAAAAATCCCACCCTGGAAATCCATACAATTAACTTGCCTCACACAGATACAAAAACACACAAATTAATGCACATCTGTATTCATGAATATGTTAGGAAATGGAAATGTATTTTTTGCAAGCAGTGTAAATACCTAAATTTGATATGGTGTCAGCCTCTTACAGTCCCAGTACAAGAAAGCTCAGGCTGGGAGAGGGGAAAGTTGCACAAGAAGCCAATCAGCTATGACACAGTGCTCATATTCTAACAAGGAATGCGCCAATAGTAGGAGAGAGCAAAGTGAGAGAGAAGAGCTCACCAGACACAGGCTTCAGAAGGCCATGTAACACTAGCAATCCTGTTGCTGGCATGATAAGAATCATTATACAGGTGTAAGCCAGGGAGGAGGCAGAAGAAATACTCACCTGTTTCTATAGGTCACTTCCTTGCTGGCTGGATTGGCTGGAGCGAGATGCTACTCCTTTGCTGGTGACTAACATTCTACATTCTACAGCATTTCCACAAATGAAGAGGAGATGCTGAACTCATCCGGACAGCGAGTTAGTGACACATTGAAGTAATCAAGTACTTTCTCTGCAGCTTTTAGTGATTCTGACAGGTGGCATGACCCCAAGTGTAACTTAACAGCAGCAGAAACAAAATCAGGTATCTGGCCCTGCCAGGCAGAGACACTCATTTTATGTGGGGTCACTGAATTAATGGCTGGATTTTACAATCAACTTAAAATGATTATTGCAGCATATTGTTTTTTGCACACATGGCGACTCCTGGTGTCTACTGATCACCAATTGTGATATTTGAAAAGGTATTTAGGGCCAAAAAGGATTGTGAACAAGGGGAAGGAAAAATAGTTAAAATAGTTTTGAAAATTAAAAAAATTAATTTTTCAGAAAAAAAAAAAAAAGAAGGTGAATTACAACCACAACCCCCCATCCCAGTCCCACCTGTACGTACTTCTGTGGATGATGCAGAGGTCTGGGGATTTGACCTTGCTCATCTCTCTCTTTTCTCTGCAGTGGTTCCAGGATGGATCAACGCAATTCTGTCAATGCCAGCACAAAGAATCACCTGATGCACCCAGGAAGCCATGTAGAAAGAAGGGGAAGAAGAAGAGCAGGGATTTCAAAATCCCAGACTGCTACACTGGCCGCGTGGGCACTGACAGCTCATTGCTCATGCATATACAGCAGGGACTGAGGGTTGGGAAGGACATAAAAGGTTAGTTCAACCTTTCAAAAAAAATTGAAAAGGTAAAATGACACCCTAAGTCACGGGAAATATTATATAGGCAGATGGAGAAAAAAAAAAATCATTTTACTGTATGACATTGCAAAGTTCAATGCAGAAATAATTTGTCGTTGAACTTAAACTCACCAAGAAGGCTTGGTTTGCACTCTCACTGATAACAGCATCAGGACTGTCAATAGGTGTCAGTCGGGTAAAATGGGCACCAAAGTGGCTGGCATCATCCTCAGATAGCTAAAAGAAAAAAAAAAAAAAAAAAGACAAAAAAAATGAAGTTTTAGAATACTGCATAAATAAAAATGGTTACAGAAGCAATATAAGGTCTTATTAAAGCAGTATTAAACCCAAAATTAAACACTTATTATATTGCAGATTTCTAATTCTTAGATGTGATGGCTGCATTCCTTTCTCTTTCATGCTTTTTTCCCCCCTTTATTTTCCACTGGTGATCCTGCCACTAAGTCTGTTGTTTTTCAACAGAACAAGCTCTCCTGCAAAAGTAGCAGTTCCATGTTGAGACAAACCATTTACCACTGTCAGGCGTGCTTACAATAATCAGCTTTTATTTATTCATGTTAAACCTTTATCCCAAAAGGAAAAAAAAAAAAAAAATAAAGGAAAAAAGGTTGCTGTAACTGATTATGTAACTGAGCTGGAGTTTGGCTTCAATTTGTTAGCGTGTCTAAATCTGCTAGTCCATCTTACACTCCCCTCTCTCCATATTAACAATACTGCTGTCCAAAGTTGCCCCCTGTGCTCCTTCATCCAGAGTGTAGGCACTCTAATACAGGACGTGTGTCACTGGCCAGATCACCAGGTGAGAACAGTAGGAAAAAAAGCCCAGGGGTGCACTCACTAGCACTTTTCACCAGTCCCAGGCATGGTTCAGACCCTTGGGCTAGTTCGTTTGTGTAGAGTGCGTGCTCCGAAATATGCTTGCGACTGGTTAATTGAACCGCAGCCAGGACCACTTTGAACATGTGGTCCTAGGTGAACACTTGAGATCCAGTATAGTTTGCTGGAGCATGAATGCAAACCATGTCCAAGCCCAGTTCTCTCCATAGAGAACTTTGTAGGAAAAACAAATGCTACTGCAGTACAGTACATACATCATTTGCATTCGTTGGCAATGGCAATAGTTCATTTGGGCCAAGCTGGTCCATTTAAAGTCAAAGTAAACCTGGAATACTACTTTAATTCCATCTGTCAGGGGGGCAGTACTTGGTCTTAAAGACTAGACCTCAGCGGTTCCGTTACAAAGTGGTGGTCCCCCTCAAAGAGAGGCATTCAGGCCAACTCGACCTAGCTCCGGCGGCAGACAGGAAGTTGTCTGCACTGATGCGGAATATAGAGCTGATTACTGTATGTAGCCGATGCTACAACAGTATAGTATAGCTCACACATCGGCAGCATCTGTTGGTAATGAAAATAGTTTGTTTGGGTTAGCTTGGACCAAACAAGCAAAATTACAGTAATTTCTCCTGTCATTGGGTGTGCATGGCAGTTATAAGGTGGGCAGATTCAAGAGCCATTTCCTTCCATTTCACATATAGAGAACTAGTAAAATGAGAAAAAGTCATTGTTTTGCATAAGGAACTACACTTCGTAGTACTCTGTAAACTACGCAAAAATTCAATAAATACTACTCGGGGGGGGGGGGAAAAAAAAAAAAAGAAAAAAAAAGTGTAAGTGGACTCCCTGAAGAGCTGGTTGTGGCCAGTTAAGTAGATTGCTTTAAAAAAAAAAAAAAGCCTGGATTCTTTCCTAGATACACAGAATATAACTGGATACTAACATTTACAGGTAAAGTTGATCCAGGGAATATACAAAATTGTTGCATTGGATCAACTGTGGGCATAGGTGGACGTGTCTCTTTTTTCAACCAGGCTAAGTATGTAACTATGTAAGAGCTCTGTGTGTGATTGGGCACAGTTGATCAGCTGACTTTAAGAAAAAAATCATTGGCTGAAGTCAGCTGCCGAACTCGTGCTGTGTCCAGTCATGAACATGCGTGTGCCCCAAACCCGAAGGAAGGCCAATCATGTATATATACATACACACGTGACTGCACCTGCCACCCCCCACCACAGGAAACGTACTGTAGAAAAGAACACCAAGCAAATAAGAAAAAAGTGACACAGACATCGTTCAATACTTCCCTGGTTTGTCTGCTCCTTTACAGTATGTACTCACCAGGTGGGGTTTGTATGGTGGCTCAATTCTACAATGCAGCAGGTCATCCCATTGAATCTGTCTGAAAAAACGGTGCTTCTGCAATTCAGAACAAACAGGAAACGGGGTCAGCAAAAAGAAAGATAGACCTGGCACCAAATGTAGCCTAGTCAAGAAATACAAGAATATAAAAGGAAAAAGTACAGCGTAGAAAGGAAATCTTCCTAGTGAGAAACATAGCTGCATTTTCCTTTCCCTACTCTATTCCCAAACTAAAAAGAACCATTTTCATGATAAATGTTAACACAAAAATGTGAAAAACTTGATACTGCCAAGTCTAAATTTGAAGGTCCACTACAAAATTTCATTTCAACAGCCAGTGCAGGAATTTCTATTTTGAAATCAAAATCAAAATGTCACCTAGTGTGCAGGGGACAGTGGAGATTTCACGTATAACTGAAGGCAAAACTTAAAACTTTTTTTTTTTTTTTAATTATTATTTTTGAACAGAGCGGAGAGGGATTAGAATGCCTATCAGTGCTGTCTGTGCCCGTTAGGGAGATTAACCCTCTTTATTTTTCCTGTTTGCCATTATCACCAAGAGTTAAAACAAAGGATTTCCCAAATCTGGGGATGTCACCAGGACAGGAATAGAGGGGAAATCTTTCAATGGGGACATTAGTTCTGGTGACTAGGGATACCCTCACTTTTGAGGATTTTCCCCTCGAATTCCTGTTTTGGGTTTGGGGCAGGACGTGAAGAGAATTCTCCCAAATGGGACACAGATGACAAAAAAAAAAAAAAAAAAAAAAAAAAAAAAAAAAAAGAGACAGCGTCATAATCCTCCCTTTCTCTAGCCAGCATGGAAAAAAAGTTTTGTCTTTAGTTCTACTTTAATATAAAAACTGAATCCCACATAAATCATGCAAAGGACAACACAAAATTAATTTTAGCAAAAATTACATGAACTAAATGGAGTTTTGGTTGATTGGAGATTTATGTCAAACCATAAAATCAATTTAAAAAGGAGCATCTCATTTATCTTACTTGTATTAACTGAAAGCGACACAAAATATACAGGATTTGTTAAATATAAAAATATTAATGACTTAGAAGACCTGAATATCTGCCACATCAGAAGGTCCTGATCCGAGTCTCTGAGTAGGATTCTTCTTAAGCAACTGAAACAGAATAAAAAGAAAAAAAGTAAAGAATAGGTCATTAATACTATAGGAAGAATTTTCTTAGGCAAGGATGGTTAAGCTGCAAAAGGTCCTACTGTATGAGGTAGCAATCGCAAATTAATAATTAAAGAAAAGGGATTCAACTATTTTTTTTTTTTTTTTTAACATCTAATCATATCCACCGTCATGTTTACCAATTACGGTTTAGAAATATTTTAATTCTGGGATTTATTTTGACTGCCTTGTGAAATCAGGTAGAATTTTATTTTTAAGCTTTTCAGGCAAATGTAACTACATTTGCTCAGGGTATGTCGTTCTGCTTTCTTCTAGACCAAAACTGCTGGGGGATGTTGGGTTAATTTAAAGGATTAAATTAAGATATGGATATTTTACACATAGTTACACTGGTCCAGCTTGGACCAATGGAACGATGTATATACCCATACCTGGCCAAAAACCAAAGAAGCGTGAAATCACTGAAGCAGACACCGCTACTCCAGCAATCTCCACTTGCTTCAGGGTCCCATACTGAGCGGCTGGCCTGCTGCATTCTGAACACAGGAGGGTGGCTTCTCAATTGGTGATGTCACACTCTCCACCTCAACCAATCAGAGAACACTTTGCAATAATTCAGAAGATACAAAGCATTCTATGAATGGCGACTGTGCTTAGTGGCTGACCTTGCTGTGTTTACAATGCACCAAGCCATCTGCTTAGCATGGGACCCAGAAGCAAGTGGAGATCACAGAAGTAGACCCTGCTACTCCAGTGATTTTCAGCTTTCAGAGGCATCGGTCAGATATGGTATATACAATGTTACATATGTCCAAGTTGAACCAATGCAACTATGTAAAAATATACCATTCCTGAAATTCTTCTTTAATGGTCATTCTTTGTGTCAACTTATTTAGCTTCATGTAAGACAGAAGGGATTATATATTTGGGCAGGAAAAATCACAATGACAAATATGAAAACTGCAGTAAATTGAAAGCAATCGCATCTGTCCTTCCATAAGTCAGAGCAGTCAGAATAGCGAGAGAAGTCTGTTTTTGGTGACTGTGACTGATGCCACAGTCCTCAGACTATTAAAAAAGAAGACAAAGAAAGTATAGCAGCTCCATGCGAGGGTAACCTTGGAACGGCTTGCTAATACAAAGGAAAACGCTAATGGGGTTTTCAGTGCGACACTCCTGGCAATCCACAGGTTGGGGGCAAATACAGAGGCTCAATATTTTCTCCAAGAAAAAAGGAAAACCTCTAAGTCAATCA